ATGATTATAACAAACACGACCATGATTATAACAACCACAACAATGATTATAACAACCACGACCATGATTAAAACAACCACGACCATGATTATAACAACCACAACAATGATTAGGCTATAACAACCACGACCATGATTATAACAACCACGACCATGATTATAACAACCACGAACATAATTATAACCAAGAACATGATTATAACAACCACAACAATGATTATAACAACGAAGAACATGATTATAACAACCACGAACATGATTATAACAACCACGAATATGATTATAACAACCACGACAATGATTATAACAACGAAGAACATGATTATAACAAACACGACCATGATTATAACAACCACGATCATGATTATAACCAAGAACATGATTATAACAACCACGACAATGATTATAACAACCAAGAACATGATTATAACAACCACGAACATGATTATAACAACTATGACCAAGATTATAACAACCACGACAATGATTATAACAACGATGAACATGATTATAACAACCAAGAACATGATTATAACAACCACGAACATGATTATAACAACCACGACCATGATTATAACAACCACGACCATGATTATAACAACCACGACCATGATTATAACAACCACGACCATGATTATAACAACCACGACCATGATTATAACAACCACGACCATGATTATAACAACCACGACCATGATTATAACAACCACGACCATGATTATAACAACCACAACAATGATTATAACAACCACGACCATAATTATAACAACCACGACCATGATTATACCAACCACGAACATGATTATAACCAAGAACATGATTATAACAACCACGACAATGATTATAACAACGAAGAACATGATTATAACAACCACGAATATGATTATAACAACCACGACAATGATTATAACAACGAAGAACATGATTATAACAAACACGACCATGATTATAACAACCACGAACATGATTATAACCAAGAACATGATTATAACAACCACGACAATGATTATAACAACGATGAACATGATTATAACAACCAAGAGCATGATTATAACAACCACGAACATGATTATAACAACCACGACCATGATTATAACAACCACGACAATGATTATAACAACGAAGAACATGATTATAACAACCACGAACATGATTATAACCAAGAACATGATTATAACAACCACGAACATGATTATAACAACCAAGAACATGATTATAACAACCACGAACATGATTATAACAACCACGAACATGATTATAACAACCAAGAACATGATTATAACAACCACGAACATGATTATAACAACCAAGAACATGATTATAACAACCACGACAATGATTATAACAACCAAGAACATGATTATAACAACCACGAACATGATTATAACAACCAAGAACATGATTATAACAACCACGACAATGATTATAACAACCACGACATGATTATAACAACCAAGAACATGATTATAACAACCAAGAACATGATTATAACAACCACGAACATGATTATAACAACCACGAACATGATTATAACAACCACGACCATGATTATAACAACCACGACCATGATTATAACAACCACGACCATGATTATAACAACCATAACAACCAAGAACATGATTATAACAACCACGACAATGATTATTACAACCACGAACATGATTATAACAACTCGACCATGATTATAACAACCAAGAACATGATTATAACAACCAAGAACATGATTATAACAACCACGAACATGATTATAACAACACTAACAACCCATGATTATAACAACCAAGAACATGATTATAACAACCAAGAACATGATTATAACAACCACGACCATGATTATAACAACCAAGAACATGATTATAACAACTATGACCATGATTATAACAACCAAGAACATGATTATAACAACCAAGAACTATGATTATAACAACCAAGAACATGATTATAACAACCAAGAACATGATTATAACAACCAAGAACATGATTATAACAACCAAGAACATGATTATAACAACCACGACCATGATTATAACAACCAAGAACATGATTATAACAACCAAGAACATGATTATAACTACGACCATGATTATAACAACCAAGAACATGATTATAACAACCAAGAACATGATTATAACAACCAAGAACATGATTATAACAACCAAGAACATGATTATAACAACCACGACCATGATTATAACAACCACGAACATGATTATAACAACCACGACCATGATTATAACAACTACGACCATGATTATAACAACCACGAACATGATTATAACAACCAAGAACATGATTATAACAACCACGAACATGATTATAACAACCAAGAACATGATTATAACCACGAACATGATTATAACAACCAAGAACATGATTATAACAACCAAGAACATGATTATAACAACCACGAACATGATTATAACAACCACGAACATGATTATAACAACCAAGAACATGATTATAACAACCACGAACATGATTATAACAACCACGAACATGATTATAACAACCATGACCATGATTATAACAACCACGAACATGATTATAACAACGAACATGATTATAACACCAGAACATGATTATAACAACCCGACCATGATTATAACAACCACGACCATGATTATAACAACCCACATTATAACAACCCATGATTATAACAACCACGACCATGATTATAACAACCACGACCATGATTATAACAACCACGACATGATTATAACAACCAAGAACATGATTATAACAACCAAGAACATGATTATAACAACCAAGAACATGATTATAACAACCAAAGTTATAACAACACGACCATGATTATAACAACCAAGAACATGATTATAACAACAACGACCATGATTATAACAACCACGACCATGATTATAACAACCAAGAACATGATTATAACAACCACGACCATGATTATAACAACCAAGAACATGATTATAACAACCACAAACATGATTATAACAACCAAGAACATGATTATAACAACCACGACCATGATTATAAAAACCATGATCATGATTATAACAACCAAGAACATGATTATAACAACCAAGAACATGATTATAACAACCACGACCATGATTATAACAACCAAGAACATGATTATAACCACGAATATGATTATAACCACCACGACCATGATTATAACACTCACGACCATGATTATAACAACCACGACTATGATTATAACAACCACGACTATGATCATAACCACAACTATAATTATAACAACCACGACCATGATTATAACAACCACGACCATGATTATAACAACCACGACCATGATTGTAACAACCACAACCATCTGGAAAACGATGTCGCTGTACGCTGTCAGCCGGACGGCGGTTGCGCGCTAGCCAAGCACGAGCGTTCGAACTTTCACGCCTCGGTAAACTGTACCACCGGACTCGCCACCGGGCACGAAGGGCCCACGATCACTTGTACTATTTTCTATAAAAATGGCAATGATTCTCTGTATATGTAACTTTTTTCATGGGGCAAAGGGAGGCTGGGGAACGTAACTCCCGTATTTAATTTATTTCTTATGGGGTTAATTTATCTGCTTGACGTTGTTTCGTATAACGTTGCATTTTCAGGAACGTAACTCCAACGTTAAGCGAGGACGTACTGTATTGCTAAAAGTAGTGTAGTTGTATTGAGGTGTAGTATTTCTGGAAAATAAAGCTATGATTATGTTATAAATGGATTTATTTGTGGAATTATTATTATTTTATGCATTACTTGCTCTACCAATCACAAAGACAGCCAGACAGCCTGGTGACCGACTGAGTGTGTGTTGCCAAGCACATTTTATGAAAAATAAAGCCAAAAAAATGTCCTACATGAATTATTTATAGCAAATAAGTATTTTGATCAGTAATATATGCATTACTGACCATCTCGGACACAAAGGCAAGCTAAAAATAACTGCTAAGTGCATAGGTGACCACGAGTGCTCGCTGTCACAACAAGCTGTCCTCTTATCTCCCTCCCTCCGTGCTGCCAGGGAGGTTTCTAGAGGGGCAATATATAGTTTTTCTTGCTTATTTTTTTATTGTTTTATCATTTAAAAAAGTAAAAAAAAATTTGGGGGATAAGTTGATTTTTCTTGATTTACCCCCGGGTGGGGGGGGTACTGCCAGCGGCACCCTAACCCGGGGCTTAAGGGTTAAAACACCACATAAGAGATAATAGTACACAATGAGCCAAAACAAGCTTGACAAATTATTTAGATAGAAAGGTGGAATTTGTTGCATTAGCATTGTAAATAAATTATCTGCAAACAGTTTTATATGAGTAATCATGATAAAAGAATTATTTCTATACATAAATGCGAGTGGAAGGCATCTGGAGGCACCACACTATCACCATATGGTGCAATCTCCTTGTACTTTTACGTTTTCCCACCCCTCCACACTCGCCAGCAACACGAGATATGGCTCAAAATTCTTACAACACTGTCATGAATAAATGAAATCACTGTGATGAATGAGCAATCAGCACAAGCTGCAAGAAAATGCATGGGAAATGTGGGTCAAGGTTATATCTTGGGTCATTTAAACACAAAAGGAGACTTGTGTGGCAGTCTACAAAGTTGCCAGATCAAGTCGACATTGCCAAATGTGAGTCTTGCATATCTAGAATTTATACACAAACAAAATTATTTTATTTTTTCTTTTAATTCATCCACAACTTGGAGTATGAAAACCCTAAAGCGATAATTTATATCATATGCAATTTTGCATCTGAAAACCCAAAGAGTATTAAAGTAAAGATATACTGCAGCAGGTCACTGAGAGATGGGCACAACAAAGCAGATCCATCTTGAAACAAACACATCATCCATCTCTATGCAACATTTTAACCTACTTGCATAACTTTTTTGTCCAAAAGTTATGGATGAATTAATTTTATAATCTTAAGATGACCGACAGCAAGACAGCAGAAGAAAAAAAGTGGGGGTAAACTATGAACCATCCCCCTAAGGGAGAATAGTCAGTACAGTAATTAAATTTGGTAGCACTCACTTTGATGTCAACTTCTTTCTCTCCACTTTCTCTTGTTGCTTGAAAATTCTCTCAGCCAACTTCTCTTGTTTTTTGAGGAATCTCTCCTCAACCTTCTCTTGTTTCTTGGTTAGTCGTTCCTCCAACTTTTCTTGTTTCTTGGTCAGTCGTTCATCTAGTCTCTCTTGTTTTTTGATAAGTTTTTCTTCTTCTTTGGCTAGCTTCTTGCGCTTTGCACCAGTATCAGCTCCTTCAATCTTTTCCTTCATTTTCTGTATTCTTGTCTCATCTGAAGCTTTCATATTACTTTGTATGTCCTCCAACTTTTCCTTCTCTTTTGGTTTGAGGATACTTTTAGAGCATGTTGAATCCAAATATGCCCTTACTGGATTTGCTATAACAGGCAATTGTTTATCCACTGCCTCTTTCACGGGAAATATTTGATGAGATGCAATCTGTGTTCCATTATCATCAAAGTGAAATTGTAATGTCTGATCTGAAAGACAAAGTAATAATATTAGGATAAAGTTTTTATTTCACATAATTTCTATTTATGATATTGAGAAGAAATATTTAACTATAAATTACACATAACAGAACATACAGTAAACCAGACCCCACATTAACCCCTTCAATATGGGGATGCCACTTTCAATATTTTATTTGGCTAATGCCAGATGATTTTATTCAGCTCAGAAAGGAAACCGTACAAGTGGTTAAAGGAAACAATTTACTAATTCCTTGTGTATGGGGCTCTCTCTCTGTTGAATAAAATCATCTGGCATTAGTGAAGCAAAATATTAGAAGTGGCATCCCCATAGTGAAGAGGTTAAACAAGAGGCCCAAAAGGCTTTATTGTCCATATAAGATGATAAATGCTGATGAAATACAGTTTTAAATGTGGACTATACAAATAACATTACAGTACTAATACATTTCAGCAAGTAATCACAGATGAGATGGTTAAAAACTACTTCTATCTTCAGTAAAGTCAATCACCGTAGATAACACAACCTGCTGTTGGACATAAATCTGTAAGAGAAGCATGACTAGAACTCTTTTGAAACCAGCAAATTTGTAGCAATAAATTAAAAACCAAAACAAGAGGTCCATGAGACCTTAACCCCTGAAGAGTCAGCTCAGTTCTAAAACATCACTACTGTTTAAAAAACTGCTGTATTTATGATTCTCCTGCACTCACTAGTGACAGCTTTTTTTTTTCCCAGGAATAGCCCACCTGGGCACAGGTCAGCGACCCACAACTAGGGGGTGAAAAAATAAGAATAGAAAGAAATTAAAATAGAAAAGGAAAAGGTTATATTACTCTACACAACGAAGATGCCGGAAAACCAGCTTTTTAAAGTGAGACATTGTATGAGCATGGAAACAGAAGAGGCAGAGCATTCCACAGTTTGGCTGTGTGAGGAAAGAAGGATGCATTTTAACGGGTTATTCTAGTGTAACCGACATCCACAGAGAAATGGTGAGCACAGCGGGCAAGATGTGTGTTACGAGCCCACGGCCTTGGCGGCGGTACACAGGATGCCAAATCCACCGAACATTGCCCATTAAAGTACCAGTAAGAGAGAGAGAGTGAAGCAACATTGTGGCGAAAAGAAAGGGAAGTAAGACTGTCAACTAAAGGAGGAGAGTTAATAAGACTAAATGCCTTTGAATCCACCCTATTCTAACAGTTGAACAGAAGAAGAGCCACCCCAGCCATGAGAGCAGTACTCCAAGTTAGGACGAATGAATCCCTTATATACTTGAAGCAACTGCTCAGGAGTGAAGTAGATACAGCATCTGTACAGAAGGCAGCTTTAGCACTGTTGAGGATGTGTGGCTTCCATGATATATTAGAGGAAATGGTGAGGCCTAGCATATCTATTTTAGAATTTGGCAGAATGACAGCATCCTGAAATGTGACTGGTTGGGAGATCATCTAATTTGGAAAGTGTAACTGGTAAATGCTGAGTTTATTACTATTGAATTTAAGCAAGTTTCTACCTACCCATTCGGAGATGCTGTACAGATCTGCATTAATAGATGTAATGATGTCAGCTCTTGAAACAGATCTAGTTTGAGAGTTACGGGGAAGGCGAAAATATGAAGAAGAGTGAAGAGTAGAATCATCAGCATAAGAATGGATAGAATTAGTAGTGCAGTGGTCCCTAGGTTAACAAGCACAATCCGTTCCAGCAGGTTGCTCGTTAACCGAAAATCTCGATAACCGAAAATCTCGTTAACCGAAACCATTGTTTTAATGGGTTTTTGGGTAATTGGTTCCAGCTCACTGAAAATTGCCTAAATTCAAAATTTTTTTTAGAAATTGACACTTACCTTGAGGTGTGTATGTAGAAGACTCCTGGATGATGATGCTGATGTGCATTGAAGTGGGAGGTGGAGGAGAAGCATTTTACTGCTTCTAGGAAGGTGAGTCACCTTCCATGAAAATGTCAGGAACCTCTGGACTGACAGATTCTCCACCATGAACATCCTCTCTCCTTCTTGAAGTGGAAGGCTGAGGGCTAGCATCATCCTCTCTCCTTCTTGAAGTGGAAGGCTGAGGGATAGCATCTTGTTCCCTCTGCTTTTCATTGAAGAAAGTGTCAATTGTGGTCTGTGGGGCATCTCTCCTCCTCACCATTAACTTATGTTTAAAGAAGGAGACCATTGAGTCCTCAACATGACACAAAGTTAGTTCAGTTTTTTCCACATCTGGGTGCTTTGAAGCCAGTTCCCTGAACTTCTCCCAGTGGTAAATCACATCTTTCAACTCTTTAGTTGACATATGGTCATCACTTTCAATTTCCTCCTCACCACTGTCAGCCTCTAACATCTCAACCAGTTGCTTCAAGTCATCAGGAGTAAGTTCCTCCTCATGAGACATCACAAGCTCTTCGACATCATCCTCTTCCACTTCAAGGCCCAATGACTGACCAATGGACACAATCTCTTGGTCCAACTCTGTGTCAACCTGAAATCCCTCAAAATCATGGACTACTGATGGCCACAGTGCTTTCCTTGAAGAATTGAGGGATCTAGTGGAGACTTCTTGCCATGTTAACACAATAAATTTTAAAGCCTCCAGGATGTTGAATTATGTCTTCTAGAACTGTTTCAGTGTTAGTTCAGGATCATTGGAAGTTGCCTGATGACACCTCCTAAACATTTTCTTCATGTACAACTTCTTGAAGTTGCTGATCACATTCTGGTCCATTGGCTGTATGATTGATGTAGTGTTGGGAGGCAAAAACAACACTTTCACAAAGTCAAATTGATACTCCAAAGTTCTGGCAAGTTCAGGGTCATGACTAGGAGCATTATCCATGAGGAAAAGAGCCATTAAAGGGAGTTTATTGGTGGTTAGGTAGCTCTTGACAGAAGGGCAAAACACATCAACAGCTGTCTTGTCACCCATGCCTTACGGTTGGACTTCCAATAAACTCCAAGCTTTGCTCTTACCACTTTCTGTTGCTTGAACACCCTGGGGTTTTCAGAGTGGTAGACAAGCATAGGTTTCAGTCGGAAATCCCCTGAAGCATTGGCACCAAGCAAGAGAGTGAGACGGTCTTTCATGGGTTTATGCCCAGGTAAAGAGGCTTCATCTCTGGTGATGAATGTTCTTTTGGGCATCTTTTTCCAGAACAGCCCAGTTTTGTCCACATTAAACACTTGCTGTGGAAGATAATTTTCTTCTTCCATCAGTTCTTTAAATTCCACTAAAAACTTTGCTGCCCCTTCCTTATCAGCACTAGCAGCTTCACCATGCCAAACACTGAAAATGTCACTTCTTTTCTTAAATTTTTCAAACCAGCCTTTGCTGGCCCGAAAATCTTCAAATTCTGTGGCTGAAGAACCAGGTTGATCTGTCTTTAAATGTTCGTAAATCTCCCTGGCTCTTTCACAAATGAATTCAGTAGAAACTGAATCACCTTCATCTGTTTTTCCCTAATCCAGATAAGAAGTAACCTCACAGTTTCTGCAATTAGGGATCTACTTTTAAACACTCTGGTAGAGTTGTCTCTCACTTTCACTTCTTTAAATTTGTCTTTCTGCGCAAGAATTGTCGACACAGTTGATGTCAACATGCCATATTCTTTGCATAGCGCATTTGTTCTAATGCCTTGTTCATGTTTTTTTTATAATTTCCTGCTTGGTTTGGATTGAAATCGCTTTTCTTGATCTCTTAGGCCCCATGCTGGATTCAAACAATGTCAACACGTGACTTTTAAGTTAAACTAGCTGTAAATAAAGAATATTTTCTTTAAAATAACACTGCACTGCACTATATATTGTCAATATGTAAAATAAATTTCAAAATGACCAATAATTTACTTGGAAACACAGAAAAAAAGCATTTAGTTGAAGAGAGTTTCAAGCAAGATGTTACCTCCACTGAAAACAGAGAGAGACTAACGCTTGTTTGGTGTGTTAAAAGGCTGGATGGCGCGCATAAAACTAGTGACCTTTTCAATTATGTTCAATAATTGTTAAAATGACTAAAAAATTAAATATTAAACTTTTAAAATTATTGAATAGTATAAACTTCTTGATATTTACTAAAATAGTAAGGAATTTAAGCCCTAGAACCGATTACTATATTGGCGGACTAATACTACAGCTGGTTGACCGCCAAGGCAAGCGAAAACATGTTGAGGTCGGCACATAAGAAACTCGTTAACCGAGGGATTGCTCGTTAACCGAAGTTAAGAATCTTATGGGAGGTAACTCGTTAACCGAAATCTCGTTAACCGAGGCACTCGTTAACCGAGGGATCACTGTATAGTGTGAAATAAATCACTGATAAAAAGAAGGAAGAGAGTAGGTGAAAGAACAGAACCTTGTGGGACACCACTATTGGTAGAGAAAGAGCGAGAGATCAATCCCTCGACAACAACTGCCATGGATCGGTTCTCAAGGAAGCTAAAGATTAGAAAACAAAGTGGGGAAGAGAAACTATAAGAGGGAAGTTTAGAAAGCAAAGACTTGTGCCATACCCGTCAAATGCTTTGGAGATTTCGAGGTTCCACGACGAAAGTTTCCCCATAATTCCCAATACATGAAAACGGGACTACACTGCCCCTTTAACCCAGGTTTGTTCAACGTGGATTCGCTCAAATGCTTTTTTATTACAACCCAGTATCGCTTCAATCAACCAGAGTACCTTTCTCATATATGAGGGTTGGCGACCACAGCCCTTCACTCTAAAAGTTCTAGGGCTGTTCTTACCAAACCTCCAAGGTTTTGTATCTCTCCGGGGACAATGTTTTTAATTTAATTCATCCATCCCATTCTCTGTCTTCCCTCACCCTCCTATCCACAATTTTTCCCAGTAATATTTCTGTTATTATCCCCTCATCCTTAATTATATGACCAAAGTGTCTTATTTTTCCTTTTCTGTATACTTCAAGTATTTTTCTTGAAGCTTTTGCCAATCTTATTACAAGTACTTCATCATTTGTTTTCCTGTCAGTGCAGCTTATTCTTAAGCAT